ATTTTTGTATTGTTCCGATTTAACGATGGTACGGGAATTAATACTTCCTTTGAAAACCCAAATGTCAATTACATAGGTGAACAAAATAATAAAATAATCATTTTAAATAAAAAATTACCCAAACCTCTCCTCTAAAACAACAGTTATAGGCACAGATACAGATGGGGCTAATATTCTGACAGTAAACGCCCACAACTGCATTATCTGGGATAAGACTATTCCATATGCTTTAGCTCAACGGTCCCATCGTGACCTAAAGGTCACTGTATGGCTAGGGTTTACCAGCAATGACATCATCAACATTCAGTAGAACATTGTGCTTATGTTGTCAATACTGTAAAAAAACAACTACACAATTGCTTTCAGTGAATGAACCATTAGTAGGGAATTTTCACGCACTTTCGGCCATCAGATCTCACACCTACAGATTTCTGGTTAAGGAATTATCTGAAAACGTTGCTGTATCTTGATCTTCGGCAGACAACTGTTGATTTTAAGAACAGTGTTTAACATCACATTCTTGCCATCTACAGTAGTCAGTTGAATACAGCTGTGCTATTTAAGCGGCAGACAATGAAAACACATTCAATAAAATAATGTTATAAACAGTATGTTTCAATAAACTGCTGTTGATAAATCTCTATTTTTTTACATACAGTTACACATCGATTTTAGAAAAAAAGATTTTTTTTCTTTTTAAATACTGACAAGATCGTTTCGGTGAGACGTCACAAGTGTTAAAATCTGAAATTGCGTTAACCATGGCCCACATGTATCCACACTTAAGTCCACCAAATGTATGTTATGGTTTGATAATTACAAGCAACGGAATGTATGAAATAACTCCATCGTGTTGTTCTTGTTTATCCAAATAATTTCATCAGAAAACCTCGTCTAATATATAAACTAGGTGAGTAGGTGTTTCAAATAAAAATCAGCAATGATTGGTTGTTTCAACATCTTCAAGGCAACCATGCATGCTCGTGTGACGTTATCACGTTAGTAGCCAATAAAATTACGAAATTATTTAAATACAATTTATCTTTTGCAACAGCTGTTATAATAAAGCCCAAGGTCTTACTTAAACGTTGTATTTAAACACTGCTAAATTGCAAAAATATGCACTCTTCACCCTTCTATTTCAAAATAACTCTGTAGTGCATCTAACCAGAATAATAATTTATGTGCTTTTAAAGCTTTTTTTTTAGCAAATTCTTGATGCAAGAAGACAGCACTACAAAGTCATACAAGAAAATCTAAAGCAAACCACAGAACCTGACCAGTTATTTCTATACAGCTATCTGATCACTTCCTATTCTTTTCTTGCTATTCTCCGTTATCAAACAACTGCCCTACTTAATAGGTAGAAGAATTAACCGTGTCGTGTTACATACTACCATAAAAATGCCTTCCAAAGTTGTTTATATCTCTTCTCAGATTCATGATTCTGATGACGAGTTGCCAAATTTTGTGACTAGACGTTCCTGGAATGTAATGCCTTCAAAGTTAGCCGTCAACACCGTGAATCCAATTCGCAAAATTGTAGAGAACATGAAAATTACACCAAATCCAAAGAAGTACATGATCGCCCTATCAATTGGTGAGTTGTTGGAAATCATTCTTCCACTTTGTTGTTTACGTGCTTGTGTACATATAAAGGATGTGTAAAATGTTTAAACCTGTGTAAAACTGGGAATTAATCCTTAATAAATAATATCTTAAAATTGTCCAAATAATTAATGCTCTCTAAAATAGTTTTTATAGATATTTAAGTCAATTTTACAAAACTAAATATATTTAAATACTGGCTAATTTAAATCTTTTCCATATCGGGATTCCACTATCACCAGGGAAATTGTCTAATAATTCTTAGTTCAGCTTGTTATTAGATTTTAGTTTACCATTAGATGTAACAATTGTTTGTGTGAAGTTATGCACAAAGCTCGTTACGTGAATTAGGCTTAGCATTTTGAACTGAAAGAGTTTGTGATTTTTATATTCTTTTGCATTTAAATTATTAGTTTTAAGTTCAATAATTTAGCGTAATTTTATATTTAGTTCATAATAAAAATATATTTCAGTATTTAGAATGATTGTTTGTTTGAAGTTAAGCACAAAGCTCTACAATGGGCTATCTGTGCTCTGCCCACCACGGGTATCGGAGCCCCAGTTCTAGCGTTGTAAGTCCGCAGACATACCGCTGTGCCATTGGGGAGCAGCTATAACACACGATGAAATAAAGACAAAATAATACACCTCTATTCTTAAATAGATTTTCTCTTTTGTGAAAAGTGTTACTTATAAAGACAACTTATTACACATTTGATCTATTAAGAAATATAATATCGAAATATATTTCTCAGGTAGTTCTCAACTGGGCTTCTAGGGCTGATATAAAAAAATAACATCAATGAAGATAAATAAAGTAGCCGATTTTATTAATTTCGTTGAGAGTAGTGACAATTTTTTTGTGTGTAAAATGTTTGTAAAACTTAGTCTATAAATCAGTAGTAGTGTTTATATTTTAAAATAGATCACCGAAAAAATACAAAATATAGTTTTCCTTGTTCATCAAAACACTGAAAATTTTCGTATGAGCATACTGCATAGAAGGAATTATTAAAGCATCAAACTGAAATATTTTTATAAGAAAAGTAAATTGAAACAAAACTCTAAACAGTTGTTTGTTTCTTCCCATCTTGAATGGCCGCCAAAAATAATTCTGAACTGTTGAATACTGAGCCAGTAGGCTGTCTAGTACGTTGACAGTTTTGCTTCCTACAATGATAGTTAACGAAATAGTTGAACTCTATACAAATGGTGACGGTTACTAAGTTAAAATAATGCAGTAGTTGTAAATATTGCAGTGCTAGTGTGACGATGTAGGCGAACAGCAGCGTTAGCTGTAGTATTGTTAATTCAAACATACCGACAGTATTCAATGCGAATAATGTGGCTTTAGTTTTCCCAAATACTCCAATAATAACAGAGTTAAAATGCTATGCTACTGAGCTACATGGAACACTTTATCTTTCAAAACGTTCTACACGTTAGGATTCTGTAACGTGGCCCCAATGAGACTTGTAAATTCAAAATATTATGAATAATTCGTACATTCAGCATTTTTGAAGATGGCGCTATAAAATTAAGTTTGAAAAGTGCAGTAATTCATCATTTTTGTTTTCGGAAACTTGAGTCTAGCTACACAAGGGCTATCTGTGCTAGCCGTCTCTAATTTTCAAACAACTACTCAACAATGCGAACCGCAAGCACTAGGGCTAGGTAATGGAATGACGGGATTTGACAGTCACTATTACAGCGCATCTATGGCCTCAATGTGCAGAGCGTGGTTTCCAAGGCAACGGAACGCGAATCACGGATCCCAGATTCACGATTCGGTACACTGATCACTAAATCACACCTGGCCCGTGAAATTCATTAAAACCATTGCACCTGAGATTTTTGACGTAGATGTATAGATGTTTAATTATCTATATATTCAGGAATTATTTGACATGTGGTTAAATTGTGTTAATACTTAGAAAGAGGCACTATTTTTCCAAGCCCGTTCTCTTGGCTGTGGTTTCGCTAGATAGTAGATAGGGACAGTGGAAATCTCGTTAATCCATTCATGCGCGTCACTAATTAGATGACGAGGCATTTGGCTACCTTAAGAGAGTCATATCACAATAATTCTCCGGTGGAAGAGCGGTAAGTCTACGGATTTACAACGCTAAAATCAGGGGTTCGATTCTCCTCGGTGGACATAGGAGATAGCCCGATGTGGCTTTGCTATAAAACACACCCACACGCATCACTGTAAGCCCGTTAGATTATCCGAGCTGTCATTAAAACGAGCTGAAGTGAACTGAAAATATAGCAAAGTATCGTATCTGTGTCTACGAACTATCTTACAAGCTATGCAGGATGAAAAGAAGTAAGACGTTTATATAATACAGCATGTTTCTAGCTGTTAACTGATTGTTAGTTATATCACGTTTTCATTTAGTGGGTCACCCAAACTCTTTGAAAGTTTATATATTGATGTAATTTCTACAGGCGAAATATGAAGTTCCATTTGGTTTGTTTGTTTTTTGTTAAGCACAAACCTACACAAAGACTTATCTGTGCTGTGCCTACCACAAGTATCGAAACCCGATTTTAATTTAGATGTTTGCTAGAGAGTGCATGAAGTTATGATCAGGAAAATTATTGTAGTGAGCAGAAGGCGAGTACGATATACATAAGAATAACGTAAACAGACGAAATAATGAGTAATAAATAAATGAGCAGTTAATGAGTTATTAAGTATTCAGTGAATGATTCAGTTCAGCGTTAGTAATATCGCATCTATTTAGTTACTTGACTGAATATCGAGGAAATTCTGTAAGAAACTCATTTTTGAGTTAGGCATATAATCTGTTCAAACGTTGTTTGTGAGCTTAAGCCTGCAACCTATGTCAAAGTGAACGTAGCCTGTAGCAAATGTTATCGAAGATATATATTAATTCATTATATTTCTATGGACAGGACTTGGCATTATTTTTACCAAATAACCTAAAAGAACCAGCCCAACGATAAAATGAGTCATAACACTATATTTTTACATTTAAAGTGAGATATTTGAAGCGGACTATTATTTTAAATGATATATTTTAATCTTTTAAGAGACAAAAAAAAACAAGGAATAAAAAACACGTCATTATGAGCTTTTTCTTCTGTGCTATTTCATAAAATTCAATATCATATCTGAATATTTTTTATTATTTCAAAGATACCAGCACCTTAGTTTATCATATTTGGTTGCAAAATGTTTTGATTTTTCGTTTTAGACATTAAAATAAGATTTATTTGATTAAAAAATATATGTGAATAAAACCTACTGGAAGCTCTTTCAGACTAGGAACTTTATTTCTGAATTTCCAAGTAAAATAGTCTTAGTGTCGAAAAGTGTTTAATGAAAAATTTTTGAAGAGATGTTTTTATCTATGGGTTTGGTTACATGTATCTGTTGTTTATATACCAGCTTATGAATCTGATACACACATTCCATGGATTTATAAGTTCTTCTGCTTATAGTAAAATTTTGTTTTGGTTATGATATAGGTGATCCCACAGTATTTGGCAACCTGAAACCATGTGAAAAGATTACAGAAGCTATTGTGGATAGCGTACGCTCAAAGAAGTTCAATGGTTATGGAACGAGCGTAGGTAAGATACCTTGAATAATACCGAGTTCTACAACTATCTCACTTGAAAAACAAACTTCATATATTTAATCTGTAATTAAAAACACTAAACATGTTTGTAAATCTTTCGGCTTTACTTATAGCTGTATCAGATATTACCGTTACTGAGAGTGAATATCGGTATTTTCACGCCTAAGGTTACAATCACCGAGACTCGGTATTCTTGCCCTAATTTAAAAGCTACATCAGAAATTACACTCATGTTATTTTTATAATATATAGTTGTTATTGCCCATTTTCACATTCAAAAGAGTGTTCTCTGATCTACACATAGTCACTTGCTAATAAATACTAACTCGTTTATTTGGTGGTAGTTCTCACAAGATAATGATGTACAATTTACCTAATTATTCAAGATCTCTTTCATCTTATTACTGTATGTATAATGGTTAGTTGAAGTTCATTTGTGTTCCAGTATTATGAGTATATTGTTACGACAGCGGAATTAAAGTTCGTGAATCGTTGTGAATTATAGTGTGTGTTTAAGTTAAAGTGAATGTGGAAATTAAGTGTATTGCAAAGTTGAATTGAGAAAGAATAAACTAGTTTTACTTAAGAAAGGACTTGTATCGCAGAAGTTTCTTCGGAAAGAATTTCTACGGAAAATTAACAAACGACCAGAGACGTAACAATATGTTTCGTAGGTGTGAGTTCGTATGAATAAAAGTTTTACAGCAAAGATTTTATAATAACAACAACAAAACAGAGTGATCAAACTCTGTAAATATCATGTGCCCGTGACTTCCGGATTAGACATTTTTGACATGACCAGTAATAGAAGAGATGAAACTTCAGTTAATGTCACGTACTATACATTTTTTAGACAAAAGGAGTATTCACACGTATCTCCAAAACTTATATGAGTATTAATCCGCATGGTAACCTCATAATTAGCTTTAGAAAATGACGTTTATCAAATTATAACATTGCTCAGCTGTAACTAAAACCTGTAAGTTAATGAAAATTAAAAAGAAACATCGTGAATAAAACAGAAGACAAAAAAGAAGAATAGATTCGTTCTAAAGAACCAATGAGCGCCACTTAAATACTTTTCGTCTTGCTTCAATCCCTTTTAAAGTTACACCTAAAACAATCTCAGACTACTTGCAACTCAAATCGTTACATGTTGTGTTTACGTGGTCCCGCCCACGTGTATGGGAGAAGAACATGTAAGGTTACTGACTTTTTGATTCAGCTAGATACAAAATCTGACCTAGATGAGACTGATTCATTTTCACCAGATAACTTTCTTCTGGAAAATATTACTTTGCTTACAGATGTGCAACCAATCGTGAAGGAAAAAGCCACTTTACAAGTTGGTAATTCAGAACCTCAGTCACGACAATAAGTTACATGTTGATTTTTTTTTCGTTGACAAACAATGAGGTCTTATTTCGCAAAATTCGTACAATCATTATAAGCTTTTCCTAGTAAAACGTGTTTTTACTTGGTTCTAGTGCTTCATTTCTAACATTAAAAGTAACACCTACGTATTTTAAACTTTTATATAAAAAGAACCTCAGTAATAATGTGCAGTTATAGTGTGTATACGCATGCTCAGACACAAGGTATTAACTTGTCAGGCTTGTTTTTTTTTATGTTTTGTACGAAATGTCAGACACGTGCTTAATTTCCTAGCACTTCTTTGGAGTAGTGAACTAATACTGAACTAAAATACATAATTTTCTCTAAGTAATTTGACGATCTATATATACATATGTATATAATATATGTGTGTAAATAAGTAATCAATAAATATAGATAACATATTAACGTTAATTGTATACTTGTTTAGTATAGATTCAATTTTTTACTCATTTTCTTTTATTATCTGACTCGTATTGGTGCCATGCTAATGTGAGTATTATAATCATTGAATGCACACATAGAACTTGTATTTTAGGATGATTAACATCAAAGTTCAAAATAAATAGACGTTAACCAACTTCTTTCTTTCCATAGAAGCTTTCAAACAAAAGAGTAATTTACAAGAAAACGTAGTCTTCACTTTTATATATGTTTTGATTATAAAGTCAGCTCAATTTTATATATATAGGCCAAAGGTATTTATTACTTAATACAAATAAGACAACAGTGTTATTGATTCACTTATGAATTTCTTTTCCTCAAGCAAAACGTGAATTCCAGTGAAGAGAAGATGACGTAAAGAGAACTAACCTATTCTTAGATTCGCTACTCACGTATCAGTACACTAATGAGTAAAGGACTATACATGAAAACCAAACAAATTTTATTGATTCACAATTAATCAATATTTTTTTCTATAACTTGTGTTTGTTTAATTTATGTTGTTTCTGTCAGGAATATAATCGTTGTTTTTTCTGTTTATATTTTTATTTGCTACAGAGGTATTGGGAGAAATATTGTATGTTGGTTTTTCTCATGTTAATGTCCCGTATCTCAGTGGTGCATCTGAGTGCTGATATCGCTAAAACGCTGGTTTCGATACAAATGGTGGGCAAAACGCAGGTGGAGCTTTGTTTTAAGGGCAGATTGCCCTTCAAATAAAAAGAAAGAAAGAGAAACAAGCTTTCCCTTAGCAAAAACCAACAATAACATATATTAATAAACAGTAGTTCGTTAAAAGTTTTTTGAATAATTTGATGCTCTTTAGAGCAGCAAGGAAAAGCGCTACACTGACAACCAATTAATTATTTATGTACCTATAAATCAGAGGTCAGACAAATCAGAGAAAGTAAAATTAACTGAAGTATTATAAAGTGAACAAACTATTTGGTAGATTTTTCTTTTTCTTATTATTCCATAGGTTTGGAGGAAGCTCGCGAAGCCGTGGCAGTTTATACGTCTTGTCCAGGAGCATCTATTGAGGCCAAGGTAAGGCAGACGTATTGTTTTTCTCTTTCAGTATTGATTAACATTTTCTACATTCTACTGGTAGAAACTACTCAAGGCTAAACGTTTTATTACTTAGATTTTGTTTGCCATATAAATTATTAAAGAAACGTGTGCTTTTGTGTTTCTTTTTAACCTCTTCTTATGACTGTGCAGAAATAATAGACAAAATATTTACCACATTTGGAAAATAATTTCCTCATATCATATCCTTTATGTCCAAAAAATAATGTTTCTTCGATAATGTATGATATTTAATTAGTATTTTTATTAGCAAAAATACAAATGAAATATACGTTATCGAAGAAACATTTTGCACGATATTGATTATAAAATAGACTATTTATTTGTATTTAGATGTGATAGTTGAAGATTCCGAAATTAGATATAGCTATTAAAAGTTTATTTCGTTTTGAATATTCATTTTTTTCCCCCTGTAATAAATACTTTTGCCACCTTGCAGCTTTCTTCAGAACCTTGCTTGCGTCACACCGTGAAAGAACGTCACAGGATTTTGTTAGATGAGTGATGATGTTGAGCATCTATTTTGAAACAATCTCACTACCGTAAATTTATTTTAATGTTTTATTATACTTTGGCTATATTATATTTATAAACAACATTTAGATGAGAGACGATAATCTTTTGTCTTCAGTGAATATTATAATAAACTTTTGTAAAAGTCAACTTACTTGTACAAAGTAACGTGATATCTTCTAACACATGTTCACTTTTTACACAACTCGCTTTCTAACTAACTTCAACTCAATTCTAACTAATGCTTCATGGAACAACTTATATAATCTATATTCGAATATATTAGAACTTTACCTGACAAACTTACGAATTCCCTACAAAAGGAATAAATTTAGGGGGCCCGATTATTTTTTATGTGGGGAGGGGGCATCTTTCGTAGTTATTCCATTGAACTTTACGTCAAATTCTTAAAAGAAGACTTTGCGTTACAACCTTATATCGTTCTAGATGCTCTATCTAGATCTATTTTAACTTCCCGAACTTAACATTATCATTAAGACGCAAAGCTCCCTCTAGCTAACTTCTAAATTGCAACATTAAAAACATACGGCTTACAAAACATTGCCTACTTCCTGGATTACGAAGTCCATTAACAATCCTAAAATAAAACACACACACTAAATTGTTCATTCATCAATATTTTTTTGTGGTTTTATCTTTTGAGGCCTATTGTATATGAATGGGATCTTGTCTTGTGCCTTGTCTTAACTGGCCATTCTGTCGCTGGGGTTGTTCTTCATGAGTAGGTGTGTCAGGTGAATTCTCTGGCGTCTCCGTCCTTGATAATCCTCTGGAGGCAGTCTCATAAGAAACTCTGGGTTTCTCAGCAGATTGAGTTTCCACTGAAAAGTGTTTCTGTGGAGTTTACCGTTCTCTCACCGATGCACTGCCAAAGATGATCACGATGGATCTTTGGTTTGGATTACCTCTTCTTCGAAAATTACTTAACTTTAAAGTTTATAATCTCTTGCGATGAGAATTGTTCAGACATACCATGCCGCTTTGATGATATTTAGTTTTATCAGTAATTATACCACAGCTACATTTCATTTTATTAACAGCTGATGTAGGCATTTTCTGGGTGAAATCATGTACATATATATTCTTCACATCTATGAATTGTCTAACCACCAAGTTCTTTGAATATGCTTAAGCATTGGTTCCACTTTGACCCATTCACTAGATGAAGAACTAGTGTTAATAACTCTTGGTCCAAGTATTTCATTTCTTTATAGTGCAAAGGCCACTATCCCTATTTCCACTGAAAGTTTATCCCATGGTGTAGTAATTGCCATGTAGTATAGAGATTTCTTGATCACTGACTGTGAAGCTATCCGAAGTTAGCCTGACATCACATCCATGTCTCTTCATGAAATCAGTTCTCAAGGTGAACTCTTCGTCACTGTTAATTCCCCACATCATGAGGTGTAGAGAAGGTTAACTTCCAACTTCCCTTTTGCTGAAACTTTGTGTACACCTGCTGTGTGAATCAATTCATCTTCCTTCTTCATTAACAAAACAGGACGAATGATTGTAACTGTAGACACAGCGTCAATCAGCATGCTGCAAGGTTTTCCACCAATGAGCACGTGGAATTGTGGACGATCTGATTCATATAATGAGCTTATTCTCTTAAGATGATGTATTCCCAGTTGTTGATTAATTCTTTCAATTCTTCTAGATTATTCTTGGGGGAATTAATGTTTCAATTTTACAGGATCTAATATTTCCATAACTCTTAGATGTCCCTGTTAGTAGTTTATCTGCAACTCTAGCAGATTATAGTTCCATTGACAACTGCAGAGATTCCATTAGAGACATACATCTTCTGTGCCTCAGCCTAATTCTCATATTATCGTACGTTATGGCATCTATAAGTTGGTCATGTGTCAATGAGTCCATCATTTCACGAGAAGCGTTTGGGAAGGATAATTGGGCAAGTCTTTCCAAATCTTCTGCAAGTGCAACTAAGGTCACTTTCTTTCTTCTACATACTGTTACTGAACTTTGTTTCTCGATACTTCGTTTTGGTGCAACACTTTGAACCTGTTGGACAAAGTGACTACCAATGCTTGGTACTTGTTACGGCTTTCAGCTGGAAGGTTACTTAATAATGTCAAAGGTGGTCTTTTTAGATGGGGAGTAAGATGTGTGGATTTTGTTTACTATTCCACCCATTCACTGTTGAAATTATTTCAAGCTGAGCTTGCTATGACCCCTCTGGTACCTTGCCATCATAGGTTGTTGCTTTTTCGATTGGCTCATGTTGAATTTACCATTTAAACTCTGGAACTGTATTTGGTAATGTCTTGGTTAGAGCTGTCCAGGGAGGTCATTCATTAACAGATAGTACAGGAGTAGTAGTAATATAGGTAGACCAAATAAGTTTTCCTATATCATATGTGGTAGGAGATGGCGTTTTTGGTTGGATCTCTTGAGCAAATGCAGAAAAAGATGTGGCTGGTTTACTATTTGCTTTAATGATTAGTTTTCCCCATGTTTTATTCTGTTATCAATGTTCTTTTCTATCTCGATAATGCTTTTTTCTCTTTTCTACCTTACTGACATCTTTATTTTCTTCACTTTCAATATTTCTTAAATCCCACTGTTGTAATTTATCTGTACAACTCTGAAAGTTTCATCAGTCTTGCCTTCAAACTGATTTATTCTTGATTTTAATTCTTCCTTAAGCAGGACGTTTCTTTCTTTTAAATCCTTTCTTAAATTTCTGTTACACTCTTCTAATTATCTGTTTTGTTCTTCCTGGTCTTTTAATTTTCTACCTCTATCTTCTTAGTCTTGAATTAATAATTTCACCATTTTAAGTAGTACTTAGATATCACTACTTGACCTTATGGTCGCCATCTTTAACAGTTGAAGTTTAGTTAAAATTCTATTGTACTTTTATTTGACACTCAGGCTTCATTGAGTCTATGTTTGACCAATATATATAACTGTGCTGCTCTTTGTGATCTCTTTCAGACAACAAATAACAAATATATACTCAAACAAGTTTTCTCCGCTCTTTATGCGTTCTTTCCGTTCATGCTCCATCTTTTATATAATTTTTTTCAATCAGTCGATTGAAGAAGTCCCTGTTTTTTATCGTAAAATTTCCTGAGAAAAAGAAACATTTCTGTTCACAGTAAGTTTTATTTCTTGTCATATTGACCGTTCAGCACATATGAAGACTGATGGATTGTGGTTGATACTGATATGAAATTTTAGGAATTGCGTAAAATGAATTATTTTCTTGATTAATTTGATGTATAGTTATTCTTTCTACGATTGATCGTACCAGCCTACACTTGAATTGAAATTCGTTTAGGCAGTATTGGAGTAAACTAATTTATGAGACCTTAGGAGTGGTCAAATATATCAATCGAAAGGGTTTGACCTCCTGAGTCCAAAACTGTAATTAGATCTCAAATCGGCCAAGAGATGACGGAAGTATGAGCTAAAAGTTTGTACTTGAAAAAAAAATACGAAAAAACTCGGAGCCTTTTTATGACTCACTATGCCGCGGCTAAAAATTCTCATGACTATTCGTTCAGATATGACATTTCCAGTCTTGTGTTTTTATCTTTTTGTTTGCTCCTAATCTATATAGTCTTAACGACACCCATTACTGAAATTTTGGCGAAACAGTTTTAATTATTAAAGGACTGCCTCCCCCCCCCCCCCCACGTGGCACAGCGGTATGTCTGCGGACTTACAACGCTAGAATCCGGGTTTCGATACCCGTGGTGGGCAGAGCACAGATAGCCCTTGTGTAGCTTTGTGCATAATTAAAAACAAACAAATAAAAACAAACAATATTAAAGGACTTGCTAGATAAATGTTTTGCAGTAACAGGCGACGCTTATTATCCTAGAAGGTGTTTTTTTTCCCCCACAGAACAGAGGAAATAAAAATAAAAAAAACCTTCACTTGAATTGGTCAAAACAGATAATGTAACCACAAGATTATTACTGTTGCATCACAAAGAACTGTAAGAAGTCAGGCGCTACGATTCAGAGCGTTAACCAGCTGTGTTCTCCTAGAGGCAAAAAAACAAAACAACAACAACAACAAAAAAAAAAAACGTAGTACTGAAACATATTTTAATTTTCGATTCTGGTTAAAAACCATACCTAGACATCAAATTCAATACAGAGGTTCGACTTGGAGGAAACTTATTCCCACTTGTGGCTCAGTGTTTTGGCTTGAAGGAATAATAAATTGTGCATGGATCATGTTAACCAGGCGTAGAAAGTTATCATAATGGATCTGATTATAATGTTACGAGGCAACACTGTTCTCACTGGTTCTGGTTACCATGTTACCAGGAAAAACTGTTCTTAATAGTTCTGGTTATTATGTTAGTAGGCAACACTGTTCTTAATAGTTCTGGTTATTATGTAAGAAGGAAACACTGTTTTTAATAGTTCTGGTTATCATGTTAG